CATTGAAAAACTTTTAAAAGAAAATGAGAAGCACCCTTGGCACAAGTTTCTTGGACAAATGCTTGTATACAACTGATGACCACTGACCATCTTTGCTACAGTTCAAATAATGTAAGGAATGCTGATGCTGTTCTCCTAGCTCTGCCTGGAAAGGGATAGTCCTCCTGGACATCCAAAAGGACCAATGTCCTCCTGCTTTAAGAGAAGCACCTTTTTTTGCCATCTTTCCTTGGTCGATGACTCAAACAGAAAGAATGTGCCAGACGAAAAATAAAATCTCCCTGACTAACACGCTTTACCTCTAGCCTAAAGGTACAATTTCCAAGAGCTAGCGCCTTGCTGTCTAAGCCAGGAGTTTAAGCCTCTTTTGATTAGTTGACTCGTAAGCATTTTTCAGAAGGAGGTGGCATCCACATGACTGAGTTTACTGAAGTAAGTCTTCTTACACAGTCTTCTTGAAAGAAGTCCATAAAAACCGTATAGGTGCTAGGGCAACAGATGGAAAACCACAGGTGAGCCATTTTGCTTCTTCACCTGATGGGAAATCCTAAAATGGTCACCAATTAGAGAAAATTATTTCTCCAAGGAGTCTTGTTTGCAAAGGCTGGAGACTGTTGTACAATGAGCAGGGAGCTGACACACTAACTGTTTTATATTTGATTAGTCTGGGAGAGGTCTGGGCAAGAGACAGACAGAGGAACAGCTTCATCTCAGTAGCACATTCACAAGCCACCAACTTTCCTGGAATGACCGTAAGAATACTTGCAGTCTGGCAGTTTCTTCCTCTTTCTTCTTCTTCTTTTTTTTTTTTTTTTTAAAAGAACATTCTGCATTTTAAGTGACATCTTACCAAAGTGAGTCACTAGTAAGATACAATCTCCAAAACATGCTGACTTGTAGCTGAGCTGGTGGCAGTGAAGACCTAAGGTACAAATGCGTTTTCCTCATAGAGCTTAAAAGACACTCTGATTTTCAAAAATGAAGACTCATAACTGTTAGAGAAGACTTATTGTACATAAATAAAAAACTTGTCCAGAGACAGATCAGCTGTTCCTGCTTTCTCCAGCCACCAGGCCAGCAGATTGACAGAATTTCAGATCTACCTCCAGCCTCAGAGCTGATGGTGCTACCACCCCCTCAGATCATTGCCTACACTTTTACTAAGAGGGCTTTTGCTACATTTTGGTGAATTAACAACTCTACAAGAAAAGCACCAGCAAGTACTACAGAAATAATAAACCCACTTATTTTATACCCTGCCTGAATAAAGACTCCTGTAGCTATGGAAGAGTGAATAACCTGCACTGCCTAATGAGGTTCTCCACTGCGCTCTAGTTTGCTTGCCCTTCCTTCTCAAGAAGTCACCAAACCCAAACTGAGACCTTTTCATCAGAGTAAGTTCACAACCTATACTTGCAACCAGCTTAGCTCTGTACAGACAAAGGTTAATCCATGCAATGATTATTCCAACTTTTCTGAAGAAAAGTTCTGAAGAACCAACACCATAGACCTACCTTCTCAAACAAGACAAATTAATCATGTTGGAGGGCTGAATGCTGCCTCTATGTATTCATGAGGCACAACTTAACCCAAAGGAGTGTCCCATACAAAACAGCAACAGCACTGGATAGTCAAACTGCTTTTGCTTGTACGACAAGTTTCTGTTGGATAAATAGGTCAAGTAACTACACCTTTATCTAATACCTTTTGCATAAGTGGCCTAAAGAGCAGAGGCATGGAGGGAGACCTTCCTTCCATCTCCATTCCCCTTTTGCTTTATTAAGCCATGCATGAAAGACCATTCCACCATACCCTCTGTGGGTGCAACCTGCTCTCTTTACACTTATCCTCTGCTCGGTTGGCACAAGCACCAAGCTCCATCTCCCCTGAAGAACTACAATGCTGGCTGCAGGCTCCTTCAACCTTTAATTATGTTAAGCTGACCTTTTCGACCAACACACCTTTCCTCCTAACTACCTGTGAAGCGCCAGCACAGAAGTGAGACAACTTTTAAATTGCTCGAATAAAAGTCACTTATTTCAAAGCAGATTCTACCCGAATGACCCCTTATATTACTGCCTCATCCAGTAACACAAAACTTGAAGTATTAATGTAATTGAACATTTTGTTTGGGTTTTCTGGAGGGAACAGAAGATGAAAATACTTTGTGAAGCATTAATATGGCATAAAGTAGTTGGGAGTTTTTCTGGTTCAACCCTACTACTGCATTTGTTTAAATGTGGAGATTGCAAAATGTAAAAATATTAAATATGGTGGAGAAACAGAACAAAAAAAAGCAAAACAAAACCACAAGGAAGAACACAAAAGGCCATGTCTGATTCTAGTGCAGATGCATTAGAGCCTGTCTTCTGAATTTCAGAGGGAAAACCTAACCAGTCAAAACGAACTTTTGATTAATGAACATCATGCACCTCTAATGTCCCTCAAGTGTTTTAATATGTCTCCTACCACTAGGGACTGGAAATTTCCACCACAGGATATTAACGGAGTCCTGATTCAGAGTTTTCTAGCAGTACTGGTCTGGAGTGAAAACAGCTGCAAATGAATGAAAGAGGACTTAAAAACATGGATGCTCAAACAGCTGCCACTGCACCCAGTGGGTGTTTCAATTAGCTTTTGGAGGGAAAAGAACCAGCTCATAACAGGGAGAGATGTGGTGCTTTAAGTTTTTATTTATAGTGTGTTGTTGTCACCTTATTACTAGACAACAACAGTGACAAATTGTGAGCTTCAGCATGTTCCTACCTCATATACACATGCTGTGTGTAAATGCATGTGCACAGCCACTCTGAAGTCCAGCTGACTGAGAAGTCTAGGTGCTTCCCCATAAACAGTTGCCTTAATTTTCTAACTCTAAGCCAGTTATCACAGTAAGTGCTCACTGGAATAATCAAATCCTGATGCCGATTTCCAGGAAGGGTCAAGGTTTGCTCTGCCTGCTGAACAGCCAGTGAGTATTCACATGCAGGCAGCACAGTTGACTTCAAGACACAAATTGTAGTAAAGCAACATTTCAGGTGTTCTTCCATGCTGGATGAGATCCAACTGGTGCCAGGCAGAATATTTAGACAGCGTGTAGGTGCTCCATTTCATTAGAGGTCTAATGAAATTTCTAAATGCTAGAACAAATTACTATTTCCACACCTCTAATCAGCAATGAGAGTGCTTTAGAAAGAGGAATGTCAATCAACTCAGAGGGAATATTTTTTATTTTTTTAGTTAATAGGCATAATTACTTTAAAACAGATTTAGAACCATATGGCCAAAACCCCTCCAGATACATTTAGACAATAATGTAACTATATTCCCTTTACCACATACTAAAGCAGGAGACATTCAACATATTTACAAGTATGTGCTATTAAGTTAGGTTCAACACTGTTAAGATACTGTTTTATTAAATAATTTTTAACTGTGCAATTCATACAGAGGAGAGAACATATGCTGGCTTTCAATTGTTTGGTTAGTATCAGCCAGAGTAAATCCAATGCAATAATAAACTGCCCAGAGACAGATAAAAGATGAATTTGAGTAACCAGCTCTGTACTGCTCTAAGAATAGGTTACACTGAGACAGCTAGTACTTCTTCACTGTCATCAACATATCTCTGTTTTACTGAGGTCATGTGGATTTGCTCAGAAGCATGAATTCTTATTTTGAAAATGTTAAGTGAGGAGTCATTCTTGCAACCATGCCTCCCTTCTAAGGAACAATTTAATTGATCATTTACAGTGTCAAATGACTCTAAAAGCATTTACAATTCTCTCTAGTTTCATGTCAAAACTGAGTTTGAATTTCATATGCTTTAAAACAGATACACAATTACACATTTTGATTCCAAAGTGCAGCAATTGAGACATATTGACTGTGTTTATGATTTTATTGCCCATTCTGAATAGATGAAAACGTGATTTTCAAGTCACCTTTTAGTTTTCTTCCAAATGCATTTTGCACTTGAAGAGATAACAGAGGCCTATGGCTCCAAAGAATTCTCAAGAACGTGATTTCCCCTGGCTTCCATACATGCTAACCTAACATTTGTACATGTTGAAAGACTTAAACCAGAACCCATAGGGTGATCCACACATTGACCACACAGTATTCTTGTGTGATGCAGACTTATTACTTCTGTTCCAGTCTACTCACAACATATGAAGTTAGGAATACTTCATAGTCCACTCCATTATTATTTTTTCCCACCTGATCCCCTGAGGAAAGGCACTGCTCATAGCCTCACACTATTACCAAGTTCACTAGCTAGGAATCCATTACAAATCCATTGTTGGTCTAACAAAACAAGATGCTTACCTTGAGAGAAATATGAGCGTCATTAACAACAACAACAAAAAAAGGTGTTTAATCAAGAGGCTGTATCTGTTTATTTATCTTACCCTAATTTGGGTAACCAGGGACATTCAGGAAAGATTCATGATATCTTGCTAGATTAAGAGCACTGACTTCTGTCTCTTACACTGAGCACCATCATTTACACCCTGATCAGCCCTAACTTAAGTCCCTGACTGTCACATGGATTATGTCCTGGAGGAAAAAAGCCCATGATTCAAAACACTTTACTTTCAATTTAAATAAGATGTGAGAATGAAGATATTTCAATAAATCACTGGTTGATATGGTCTGTAACAAGAACAAAATAGTTTCTCAGCTTCATAAACATGTAATATTAATTAATTTAATTAATTAAATACCATCTATACCAGTATTTTGCCCCAACTGATAGTTATCTAATGTCTGATAAGCAAGAAGCATCCTGTAATAAAAATCTGCAACTAGTGGTTAAGAGAGACATTTAAAATTAATGCACTTTGATCATGGCCTCCCCTATTATCACTAACACTAGTTTGCCCAGGGTGGCATACCAAGAACCCCATAAAATGTCTTGAACTATTGTGAATGCATTTCAGAGACTGACTGATAGGCAAAGAGTCAGAAAAAAAATTGTTTGTGAAGAGTATCCCTACCTCCCTGTAATGGCATTTCATAAGATATTTGACTCGTCTGCATGATGTTCCCTATAGCTTCTACTTAAAGCACAAAGACTATCAGGCTGGGCTGCAGAGACAACAATGGGAAGGACCTCTGCATACAAACAGGAACACCTGCAAAGAACAGAGAAATTAAACAGCATAAATTATTTCCATGCAGGTTTTTCCAAAGCCGATGAGGTGCAATTTCTCATTAACTGAGGTCTCCCTCCTGACAGTACAAATTTCTTTTCTACTAAAAATGCCCCATTTCCCCCCAGTGTATCCTGACCCACTTAGACAAAAGCCAGTATTCAGCCTGGCCATGCAAACTATGCTTGAGATCCCACCTTATTCTCCAGCCCTGCAAATGGAAATCTGATAATAAAATCTCCAGACCAACTCCCCTAGCTACGCACAGCCAGGGGAGAATTATACCACTATCTTCTCTCACTCAAATCTCCCTAGCCAGGAAAAAAAGGTTCAAATAAAGAACTAAACGAGTATTAGAGAACTAAATGAGTATTAGCAGCTCCCTTGCCAATGTGGGAGAGAGAAAAAAATCAAGGATGCTTAATGAACCATATTATGTTTTTCAGATTTCAAAACACTGCCATTTAAAGAGATGTGAGATTTGAAGCCCTAATTAAGTAATATGCATAAATTTAAAGCAAATGTTCACAGAGTCCACATCTCCAAACCACAGCCGATTTGGCTAATGCAACACTCCACTCCTTCCAGCAGAAGTAAATTTTAGCAGAGGACAACCTCCACTCTTGGCTAACCCACTCCCCAACTCTAACCCCCAAAGTTTCTTCTGAAGAAAATCCTCCCCACCACTTTCTTTCCTTTCTCACCTCTATTCCCTCCCTGTAATTCAGAGAAGACTGTGTTTGTGCTTCTGTTTGTTTTGGGTTTTTTTAAATAAAAGTGACTATTCTAAATGAGTGTGGTTCCTACAAGGCCACCTCTTACAGCTTTTCATTGCAAAACAGCGTCCTTCACCAGAGGTTCATTTCACTCATGACTCTCTCATCACAGGTCTAATGAAAATTTAATAGTTTTGCCATCTCATTTTCAGCCTGTAAGACTAGGAAGACACAAGGAAATTTCTTTACACTAGCTTTTAAGGCAAAAATAAAAGAACCCATGAACCCTCAGGACCATACATGCAAAGAGCAATACTGCACTTCGATTCCACGACACAAAGACAATAATTACGCAGGAGGTGGGAGAACAATTATTTAAACTGGTCGGATTCTGAAAAGACACAAATTAGTGAAACACTTGTGAAGATGAAGAAAGAGATAAACAGGTCAACTCTGGATTTTCACTGCATTTATTTCACAGGAAATAGTCCTGTTCTTAGTTGTTTAGTTTTTTCAACCAAATCTTCCAAGAAAAAGTAAGAATGAATTATGAGTGAGGGGCCTGTTGCTGCCAATTTTAACTGCCCTAAACAGTTGGATTTGTTGCTCTTGGTTTATATTTTTACATTTTTGGATCCTAAAAGACCCATCTTCTCCCCCCAGCTGTGCAGGCAAGAGGAGTTGAGTGACCCAAGTTGGTTTCACTATGTTTCACCAGTGCTCCAGGGGACTGGAAGACACAAACAACGAAGGCAGACATGATGTTTTACACAAGAGAATGTTGCTAAAATTAGAACCAATGCAAACAGAGTTGGGTTTTCATGAAAGACTTTCATGACTATTTTGAGAACTCCTTTAGGAAAAGGCACACTTGGAGATTCAAAGCCATCTAGGCAACCCCTCACAACTGTACTGTGAGGAAACTATTATTAAGAGGCATCAAACTACAGAAGACATCATTTGATTCTACAAATTAAGATTTTTTGCGACAGCCAAGGCTTGTTGGTCTGATTTCCAAAGCCAACTAGACTATGCAACTCAACAAAAAAAAAAAAAATAGATGTTGCATTGTGGAAAACCCAGGGTGTTTTCCAAGCAACTTTGATTTGCCTATGCTCAGAATAGATCGAACCTGAATGACTTCCCTCAAAATAGTTTCAAGGAAAGTCCTTGAAAGGCCTCTTGATTTCTACAGTGCAGGTAACAGCATCTCCATACACTTTCATGACTCATGGTGACACATATATATTAGCTTACACGGGCTTATGAGACCTGACATTAAACTATTTTTGGTTCACTTTTGGGCTACTTTCTTATTCACCCACACAGAACAATAAAGTGAATGAAAGTGTGTCTTTTTTTTTTTTTGGATATGACCTCAACTCCCTGAGCCTAGGCTAGTGCTATTGTAAGCGCTGCATCATTTAATGACGTTCACACATTTTTCTATCTTAAAAGTAGGTGTTTTTTTTGGCTGCAACAGACACAGAACAAATTCTTCCAGAACCTCACCTCTGGACACTTCAATTTTCCTGCCTAAATGTATTAATGACCATTTTACTTCCATCTGCTCCTGAGCTAATTTCTTCTCACTGGCTCTCACCATCAGATGTATTTATCGACATGGACCATATCCCCTCTCAGCTTTTGGTTTTTTTGGATTAAAAAAGCAAACTTTCAGTCTCCTTCTGCAAAACCAGTACTCTGTTTCTCCCAGCACTCAGACAGCTGACCTCTGTGTCTGTTAAATTAGGGTCCATCCTTCCCAGCTTCCCTGCTCTCCAGCACCACAGCCCTGCAGGGTGACAGTAAGCTGCTGGTCCTCCTGCACCAACATCCTTCTCCCTGCTTCTTCCAAAGAGCTGCTTTTATTAAAAGTTATGGGTATCAAACAGCTAAATCTGTAACTCTTGCATTTCACACCACTGGATTTCACACCACTTTAACTATGCCAGTGCTCAAGGTACCCCAGCTTTCCATGAAATGTCCCTCTCTCCCTGGAACAACAACATTTACCGCTTCTGCTGTGTCTTTTAGGAATAGTCACACTCTCGTTGTGACTCTAAACAGGGTTAAACCAGATTAGTTTCAAGTGATCCTTTGAAAACCCACTGGCATTCTCCTCTCAGCACAGTGACTTCTTTCAGCACAGCCCATCATCATTCCTATTCCCATCAGTTCCCAATCACTGTAATTAATAGGAACAGCAAAACACACAGAATGTGTCAGATCAAAGGTCCCTATTGCCCAGCAGCCTCTCCCTACCAGGGGGCAGTAGCAGACATATAACAGCCAGGAAAGCATACAGAAACTATACTGAAGGGTGTTGCTATTTCATATTACAGGTGTTGTTTAATTTTTCTCTTATGAATTTGCCCAAATATTTTTCAAATCCAGTTAAACCTTTCAGTATATAGAACATTTGGCGTTAGTAAATCCCAGAGTTTAATTTGAGCTGACTTGCAGTGACGAGTTCAACCTTTGATGTTACTTCAGATATTTAATGAAAGAAGTGTATTTTAGTCCATCCAAAGCTTTCGGAAGAGGACACTCATGCATCTGTCTTATTAACAAAAGACCACTACATTAGTCTTGTGTAACCTACTTTTGGTGCTATCATGTCATACATATTTTTTCATATTTGCTTTAGTAGCTTTGTACAGTATTGAGACTTGTACTAAAGAAGGAGACTGGCATGGGAGGATGAGAAGCACTGAAAATTTTGTCCATCATACTGATAGGCATTCCCCCTCTCACAGGATCACCCTGACTGGGTAGAAACAGATCCTAGATTTCTTATATCTTTATGAGGACTCCAGCACAGAGACTGGCTGAAGCCAGGAGGGTCAGCTAAGCCAGGTTCATTTCCGCCTTGCCAACAATGCAGTTTGGATTTTTTAAACTGCATGCCCCCATCACCCATTTTGCCATTGCCCTTCTATCTCCTTCACTGAAATCAAACACAAACCAAATATTTAATCCTAGAACCATGTTTATACTTATTTTCTTTTCTATCCTACTGACCTGTATGTACATGTAAAAGAACCTTTTACTTCACATACTTTGGAGTTTGCAACTAAGCTTGAACAGTTGGCAAGCCCTCCCTGTTCCTACACTTCCTGACATATCAGATTTTTTCCATCCCCAAAGACTTTTTGCTTATTCCTAAAAGCCCTTCTGAAGCAGTTATTTGTCCAAAGAAATACTGAGCCCTTCCTATATGTTTTCTTCTCACTTGCTTGGACTATTGACTTTGTTTAGGCAGGAGAACCTTGGGTTTCCATAAGGCTCCAGATCCCCCCCAGGAGCTTTCCCCTGCCCAGGGACTCCCTTACATATCACATTTTCAAATGGAAGAGCTGGAGCTGTCCTGGTTACTGCAATGGCAGCAACTCGCAGCCACCTCTAGGAAATTCTTAGGGCCAGAACTCACGTGCCATTTTAATCACTTTTTTTTCCCCCTAAATCAAATAATTATGTAGCTGTTGTATCTATGACTCCCTAAGCCCTTCTGATTAGCAGCAATTGTTCTGCAAGTAGATCTGGTTATCTGAAGTGTCCTGTAACAATAAACCCAACCGGAAATGGAATCTTTTTAACATGAAAAACCTTCATAGGCAAATTTAACCCTTGAATCCTTAGCATACTCTTAGTGCTACCCTGATAGAACTTTCCAGAATAAAATGTAACTTTGATTAGTTTGCAATTGGCCGAAACCTAAAGTGCTGAATTTAGCTTTTCCTGTTTCCCTGATGAAAGGGAAACTTACCCTCACCCATGAGAATCCAAAAACTTATGGATTATTTCAAATTTCATTACATGCCACTGAGTAGAAAGCTTACTTTGCTCCTTACAATTTTGACAACAGCACTACCTAAACTGTGAGTGTTCAAGTGGCTTCAAATAAAGACTTAAGACTGAGGAGGGCAGAAGAGATTCAACACATTTCAAGGCCAATCATTTTTTTCCAGTATGCTATCACATGAGCATTAAAAAAAACCCCAACACCATCAAAAGAACAGATGAGGCAGCACTCATCTGAAGATTATTACTCTGAGACTCAGGTCAAATTTGCACCTCGCTTCCATCAAGCCTTTTCTTTTTTTCCCCTCATGTTTTCTACTTGCATGCTTGCCAATGAAGTGCAAAAGGTTAACATTTACAGTGATTTTTATTGTACCAACTTTTAAATAATTACAGATGTAGTCAGAAGCTTTGTACTTCTATGTTTATTGTTCAGCCTACAACGC